TCTTCAGTATATATCCTATCCATCTCTATTTACTTCTGAATATTGGTCGAGCAAATTGGTTCCTGGTTGGTTTATTACCAGAGTTCCGTGTTGCTCACTTAATCAGGCAGGTGATTTGAACTTCAGTATGTGGTGAAGATAGCTGTTTCATGACCAAATCAGATAGATGTAAGCGCTGATTCGACATTAATGTTGGAAGTTGTAATACTGTCGTAACTTAATTCTTGTTCAAACCTTAATCCAATTAATACCAATTTACTCGTTAATATTGTAACTAATGAATGAGAAACGTCTACTGTGGTGCTAGTGATGAAAACCAGCACCGAAATTGTGTTTTTGCAAATGATTTCATGGATTAATTTATGAGTCAGTGACGTATTCCTATAGTCTTTTCGTCTAGTTTGTTTGTTTTGTTTTTAATCTCTTAATTTATGTCTGGAGAATTCAGTTATTCATTTGATACAACATCAAAGTTTCAAAGTTCACACATCAATTATAACTACACAACTTTGAAACTTTGGTTTTATAGTTTCCTTTGTTCTCTCCTATTTGTCATACGGGTAGTAGAATTTTCCAGATATCTAAGACAGGTGTTGAATCATTTCCACTACATGTGTTTGCAGTTGATTCGATGAATACAAAGAAGGGACCTTGGAAACCTTAATGAGAATTCTTAAAAATGGGAGGAGTGAAAGTGGCTAGCATTCAAACCCACAAACTCAATTAGAAACAAGCTTTGTCGAATAAAGGATCCTGTGGAGCCAATTAAACAAAATAATTTAGTCTATCTAATACCCTGAAATGGTTCCCAGGTCAAATATATAGGACAAGTCAGGCAAGCGGAGCAAAAATACCTAGCAAAATCTAGATTGGTTGACCTGAATAAAATAAAAAAATCTAGAGGATAGTTTAGCAATAATACCGCACCACATGCAATTACTCACAACCATAAAATAGGATGGGGGAAGATGACTGTTTTAAAATCTAAAGCACCGGGGTTGAGTGAGAGAGATTGGTAACAGAAGTTTTATTTATCGAATCGGCTTTACATACGTGTTACAGGAATGATTCAACACTTGTTCTAGACATCTGGAAAATTCTGTTATCCCTACGACAAATAAGAAAGAATAAAGAAAACTGTTCGGATAGTGTTATCAGAAGGGGAGATTACCTGAAAAATGTGATGTATTTGCGCTATACATTTCGAACAATCTGATCACACATTTACTTGTCAGGTTGATGTATATGAAAAAAATTAAGGCCAATTAAATTAAACAAAGTGAGAAGAAAAGATGTTAGAATGATTAACGCAACGTTCGGTAATCCAATCAAATAAGGATTACCAAGATAGGTTAAGAGCAATAATAAACTTTTTCAACAGTTGGTTTGTAAGGATTAGATTTGTTTATATGAGTCCTGGGTTCGAACCCCAGGACCTGGTGCGTACCGCCGATGATTTGCGAAATTGGGATGAAACGGCTGTCCAGTACTCCCTGGTTTTCAGTGGTTCTCTAACTGATATCAATCCGTGGGCAAACTAGCAATAATAAACTGTTATTGAATACACAGGGATGGGAGGCTTACGTTTATGAATAGCTACTGCCTCAGCGAATTTCAATGAGCGCCCTTGACCATTTTTATAGATGACTTTAAAGGCTGTGTTCATATTAATCTCTAATGGTTCATCTCGATTAGATGGTTGGATATAGATGAAGTTGGTAGTCTGCCACCTGCGTCTGTTGGTTTTCCACAATTCATTTGTTTTTCTAACCATTTCGGGATATGCCCTCCTACCCTAAGATGCAAAGTACGATTACTTCTCTCTATGTATATGTGTCCACACACAAAACAATGGTAAACAGTATGGCATGTGACATAATCACTTGTGCACTTTTGAGGTTTGCAGTGGAGCATAATTTTGGCTTGTAATTATCGAAAAAGCCAAAAATGGTTAGAAAAACAAATGAATTATGGAAAACCAATAGACGCAGGTAGCAGACTACCAACTTCGTCTATAGCCAATAGAGAAAAGTATTTTAACTTCCCAGGATTTCAAAGCCTTGAAAGAGCTACGGGAAAACCTTAACATTATAATTACGAAACCTGATTAAGGTTCTGGAGTCGTCTCAATGAACAAAAGTGACTAGAAATCCAAAATGCTATCTATTCTTGGTGATAAAAGCAAATTCAGCCGTGATCTCTCCTCAGAAGATATTCAGTTGTTGCATGGCCTAAATGCTATAAGTAAAGATACATTTGACTCTTTAAAACCATCAGAATGTAAATTCCCGCAAACTTATGGTTTACTAAAAACACACAAACCCAACAATAATTTTCTTGACGATATTAATATTATGAATAGGAATATGTACTCTTTTGATGTAAACTCGTTATTCACTAATATGCCTTTGCTCAAAACAGTTGACATTTTTTGTGATTACATTTCCACACACAATTTTTCCATCTTGTTCCCTGTATGTCATTTAAGGGATTTATTACTTCTATGTACTTGCAATGTCAGGCTTACATTTGAAGGCGATTGTTTCCGCCAAGTTGATGGTGTTGCTATGGGAAGTCCTTTGGTGCCCCTTTTAGCAGATATCTATACATCATACACTGAGAGTTCATCGGAGGATTTAATCAAAAATTTGCCACTTTACAGAAGGTATGCAGATGACATTGTAATCATAAGTGATAAGCCTTGTTCTGTCACCTCAATTTTAAATTGAATGAATGAAGTTCAGAATAGCTTATCACTTACGTCTGTCGAAGAGGAAGATAATTGTTTATCTTTCCTAGACATATTGTTTAGTCGACGGCTTGATGGGTCAATAAAAAGATCTATTTATAGTAAAACTACCTGGACAGGACAGAATATTAATTATCACATTTTCTGCCCTGTTCGGTATAAAAGAGCCTTAGTCAGGTGCCTCTTCAGTAGAATCCAACAAATATGCACTGAAGACACACTTGATGAAGAAGAAAGAAAGTTGACACAAACCCTGGTTAACAATAATAACTATTCAGACAAGTTCATAACGAGGTATAAAGTGGTCAGAACACCAAGACCCACTCTCCAACTCGCCCCTAAGAAAGACGTGTGCATGAAGCTACCCTATTAGGGGCATCATAGCAACTTGACAACTAGACAAAGATTGAACGCTGCTGTTAAAAAGACTTTTTATGCAGCTAATATCATAATAATTGATAATGTGAAGCCAATACATCCATCTACATCCTTAGAACATGGGAAAAAATGACGTCACATCCCACTGTATTTACCAGTTTGAATGTACGTGTGGACACACATACATAGAGAGGACTCATCGATCTCTGCAAGTAAACACTGGCTTCAAAGCATATTCCTAAATGGCTGCAGAAACAAATGGAATCTATAGAACCTATTAATGGTGAGAACAGGAGACCTAGCTCCTCTATTGCGAAACATATTATAGAGATAGGACATAAAATTGACGTTTACACATCTTTTAAACCTATCTATAAAAAGTGTTTGGGATGTATCCTAAAGTTAGTTGAAGCCCTAGTTGGTAATTCGAAAGTTTTAACCGCCTTTATAAGTTCAAAAACAATCCGTCATCACACTAAACCTACCTTGGTAAACGTTGTTTTGATACCGTAGCAGATATACTATTACCTTTGTTATTTGGTTTGGTGGTCTTCATTGTTATTTTGACTTTCCATATTTCTTCTTAGCTTGACCTAGGTTTATTTTTCTAACCTCTTAACTCTTTATTGATATTATATGGATTCCTATGACAAAACCATGTGTGATCAGATAGTTCGAAATGTATAGCGCAAATACATTACAAGATATAATATTCTTGTTAAAAATTAAAATTTATTGTTTGGGATTCTTCGGTAGTATGCACTCACGATCCGATATAAGAGGAATCGAACCCAAGACCTCCTAGTTACAAGGCGAACTCATAGACAATCCAGCCACTGAGAAGAATTGCTATGACCAATGGATTCTAAATTCTGTTGACTCGCATTATAGCGCGATCGCCAGCGAGAACTTGTCATCACACTCAACAGGACTGACCCAGTTGGTCATCATTTCCCACCGGAATTGTTGAATGTTTCGTATATTTTTTCAAAAGCATTTGCATTTCTCCTCTTTATCAACTAATCCATCGTTTCTCTGTTCAAGATTCCTTCAGAAAACGTCACAAGCATACTACTTACAAATTCATATCAGTAGCGTATGCCATACGACTAATAACGTAAAATTATGTGTCAATTCTTTCGCTGGACTGGGGATGATAAGGTTGAGTTCTCACCTTGTGTATACCTTTTCTTTGACAAATTCTGAGCTTGTTTATCTTTCTTCAGTGATAGACAAAGCGTTTCTTCGTTCAAGCAAAGGATTTCCGAGAGCCATAGTCCTTCCAGCTAGTCTAACCCTATCATATCCAAGTTTGAATTGTTCACAAAGTATCTTCCGAAAAATGGACATCACGGAAACCGACATTGCACTTTAACATACTGGTCAGACGAGTTTTCTACCGCATGCTGCAACTGCTATCTGACCTGTATTCTCCATAGTCGGGTATCCCAGTTTCTGACAAGACCTCTTCATCACTATCATTATATAATTGCTGATATTTTTCTCCAATATCTTTCAACGTCATCTGCGGATCTTGTTCAGGTCTGCTCAAGAAGAGAACGTGGAAGACTGCAAAGTACAAATTGAACTGATATTCTGTCAGCGGCTTTAACTTGAACCGTTCATATCGGTGTGAATTTCATCGTTTTCCTTCAGCTCCAGTTCCATACAGTAGTAACTCAATTTCAACAACAAATTATAGTCACCAAAATGCAGAAGGAGCGTCTGGACGGTTTCCTTAAATGTTCTGTCACTGGGATTTTGAGGATGAATCATATTGCAGTATTCAACAAACTCAGATGCATCTAGTTTCTGTAGTAAGAGTCTAACTTTTCAGGCATCGTCTTTGCTCTCAAAATCCACTCCAAACAGGTCTTCGTATCTGTAGAACCGAATAACGAATGTATTGTCCACATGAAGGTCACAAATAAAATAAAAATAGTATATTCCAGCCTGCTAAATATCCTATCTGTGTAACACTTCTTTATGTAGCTTTCAAGAGAATTTGACTAAGATATTGATAGAAGAAGGCGAGAAGAAGACGAAAAGGTATTCATTACAAAAATCAATTCTGATAAAATTAAGATTTTAGTTTTACAATATTAAGGATATGTAAATACATAATCACTCTGAACATTTAAATGATCTACAAAAATATATACTAAAAAATCAAAGAATTACACTGTATATAAAGTCTAATGTGTTATACTCGTATGTGAAACATAAGTTTATCTCCTTTTCTCGGATTATGCATTCTACCAGTGTAATCTAAGGCTTCCATATACCAATTACAGCACATGTTAAACGCCGACCAGAATTTCCTGTTGTACGACTTTCTTCATTGTCCTTCAATCCCAAGTTGTCTTCTTTTGCATGAATAACGATCGCTCTTCCAAGAAATCCATCATAATGATACAAAGCAGAGATATCTACCTTGAGATCGAAATGCATAACTCCCTTGTCATCTACTTGAAGATTTCCAAGATCACCAGGATGTCGAGGGGAGCCTGTTAATCCACCATGATTACTGAAAATTTATCAGAATAAGTGAATATTACTCATATTAAAATAAACAATCAATAAATATCCAAAGTTAACTGACTTAACTGAGGAATTGTTCTGTGATGAAACGTTCAACTATTTTTTAGGATATATATTTTCTCTGATTCACTCCATCTTGTTGAGACACCTTATCACACATTGTATTTAACTTCTCTACTTACAAATGTACTAGTCATTCAGACGATTGTCTTTATAACATTACCTATTTCAACAAAGAATTTTTCGTAATAAAGACGTTCAAATTCAATTCAATGGCCGATTATTCCATCACGTTGACTGTGTTGTATTGGGGAAAACAGTTTGGTGGTAATTTTTTCCTTCACTTAATGTTGTCATGCATAGAAGCTGGCACTTTGCAACAGCATGTACAACTTATGTAATGGAATCTAAGATGTACAGATGATATTTGTATTATCTGTTAAAATAAAATCAAAGGTCAAAAATTTACTAGTGAAATGGTGTGACAGCGCAATAGAAAATCCATATTCAAAATGTCTTAACGGAGAGGAAAGTATACACACTTGAAGGGCTTTCTTACCATCCAGTATTAAAGGATCTTAAGCAGAATACTGTTCTGTAGAACCACGGAAATCTATTTTGAAAGTTCAATTGAATATGAAACAAAGACAAAGGCTATTTTATCTAAAAAAGGGATATATCGTGAGAGGTTTATAAGTAAATACTCTAGAGATATATAAGCCAATAAAACTATCCAAATCGTTTCAGAAACTCATGTTTACACCAGTTTGCCGTTTGAAGTATATGACTGAAAAGAAGTTCTAAACGAAGATTTGATAAAGCTTTTAGGACTTCTTATGCTACAAAGCCTTTACTTTTCAGTACCCACAATCGGGTGGTTCAATAATCTGGGTACGACTTTTCGCCAAATGATCAATACTTTCAACTGCGTACATCAGTTTCAGCTTGTTTGTGAAGACAAATGCACAGCTCAGTCAAGGTACCAAAATATTCATTAGGAAGGCATTTTATAGACTACGGAAATGACTGTTATAGTCATTGACTGTTGTAGGCAGAGGAGATACTTAAAATTGGGTAGGGATGTACAATTACAGTTTACAAACCCGATCTTTGTGTACAAATGAAAATGGTGGCCTCTTTGAATCTACCATTGTCATATATCTCCTAAATATTAACTGTTATTATCAAGATTCTATTCCGTATCGTACTATTATTATTCTTGTTTCAGTTGAAAATATCTATTCTCAGTACCATTATCTCAATTCATTTTATTAATACTATTACCCAGTTTGCGATTACTAACATTTTCACATTCTTTGCATGATGACTAACTGTACACTATTTTCTTCAAAAGCATATCTCCACTTTCTTCTATTTTCTACTGTTCTATTCACCTGGGTCCATGACTGCCCATAATCTCTCATCTCCTTGCCATACGACCTCCTCCATGTTATCCTCTCACCAACGGCCCACTTGCCACCGCTTCCTATCTCGATTCCACTCGACCTATGGTCTGTATTGCGCGTGAGGTCACTCGACGGTTTCCTCAATGTATGCCCGATCCACCTCCATTTTCTCCTACATATTTGTTGAGCAATCAGCTCTCGCTCGATTTGTTTGTTGCCAGCCGGAGTTTCTTGTTGCTAATTCTTTCTGGTCACCAGCCCATTTGATCTTCAGTTTAGAGCCAACCAGCGACGATGGCAGCTGTTGATGAAAGTCTGCAACCTGTTGAAAATGCTTTTCGTGACTCACATGCAGTGCAAGTTTCTGACCCATATTAAAGAAGTGACTTCAGATTTGTGTTGAACAGAATCCGAATCTTGTTCTTTAAGATGAGGAGGAGTGCAGCAGCCAATTTCCAAACTGGTTTCAGGTTGATGAAGGTGTGTCTTGCCTTTCTGATTCTACCCAGCTTCGACATCTTAGTCCGTTCCACCTGCGGTTGAAATGATGGTGCCAAGGTATACGCAGGAAGTAACCTCTGTCAAATCTCTCCTGTTTATGCTCATTGGTGCTGTTTGTTGTCACTGTTGACTGGTTAACCTCATCACCTCCGTCTTCTCTATGGTCATCTGGCGTCCTGTCCTCGCTGCTTCTTCAACGAGTTTGTTGGTTTCCACCTGCCTGCCTGTAAGTCTTCGAGTTTGTGTTACATAAAACATAAGTCATCTGCAAAACCCAGATCTAGAGTCTTCTCATTGGTGGTCTGGCATTCACCTGTCTATTCGCTCCCCAAAGTTTCACTCATAACCCAATCCACCATCATTAAGAATATCATCAGTGAAAATAGACATTATTATTATTGTTTCCTTTAATTCCTAGAGGAACATAGGGCTTCAGCCGTGCGTCTCCATTGCTCTCGGTTCTCTGCTAGAGTCTCCACCTGGCTCCAAATCTGCCCACACGTTTTCATCTCCTCTTCACATGACCTCCTCCAAGAAACCCTTGGACGACCAACTCTCCGCTTCCCTTTCAAGTTTCACTTGAGGGCTTGTCTTGTGATGTCACTTGATGGTTTCCTCAGAGTATGGCCGATCCATCTCCATTTCTTCCTGCTTATTTGTTGCACAATCAGTTCCTGGTTGGTTCGCTCTCTATTGCTGATCTTTTCTGGTCGGTCATCTGATCTTGAGTATTGAACGAAGGCAGCCGTTATTGAAGGTCTGTAGTTTGTTTGAGATGCTCTTTATGACGCGCCAAGTCTCTGATTCCTATAGTTAGTAGCACTGACTTCACATTGGAGTTGAAAATCCGGATCTTATTTTCATTTTCGTACTGAGTGCTGTTGATCTCCACACAGACTTGAGAGTAGTGAAAGCTTGTCTTGCTTTCCCGATTCTTGCTTTGATATCCTCGTCAGTTCCAACTATAGTTGAAACGATGCTTCCCAGGTAGGTAAAAGAAGTTGTTTCTTTCACGTTCCTCCCATTTATGCTGATCGTTGTCTGTTGTTTTTGTTCTTGCCCAGGAATCTTCATCACCTCTGTTTTCTCTATGTTCACCTGAAGTCCTATCTTCTCTGGATGCTCCTTCTGCCAACTTGTTGCTTTTCGCTTGCATATCTTCAAGTTTGTGGGAAATCAGACATATATCATTGGCGAAGTCCAGATCCTCAAAGTTTTTGTGTGAGTCCATTTTATGCCTGTTTCCTCATTGCCCACTGTTTGTCGCATTATCCAGTCTACTGCAATCAGGAAAATCATTGGCGATAGTAGACAGCCATCCGGCCTCGTCTTACTCCTGTCCTCACTTCGAAGGATTCCATGAGTTTCCCGTTGTGGATTACTTGGCATGCAGCATTGTCATACAGCTGTTGGATGAGATGTATAATTGTTGGTGACACCCCATAGTAGCGTAGTAGTTTCCCAATCACCTCTCGATCGACGCTGTCAAAGGCCTTTTCAAAGTCGATGAAGTTGAGATAGAGAGGTGACTGCCATTCCAAGCTTTGTTCAATGATGATCGGTAATGTGGTGATCTGATCAATGCATGACTTGTTTCTCGTGAATCTGGCCTGTTCCGGTCAAAGTTTTTCATCCAGGGCATGTTTGATTCCCTCCAGGATGATGCGGCTTAATATTTTGCTTGGGATGAACAGGAGCATAATTCCGCGCCAGTTCTTGCATTGACTTAGGTCTCCTTTTTTTGGTAGTTTGAATAAGTATTATTCAGCAAAATAGACAGCTCTGTCTTAATCCTGTGTTCACTTCGACCGCCTCACTGAGTTTACCGTTACTGATCACCTGGCACATGGCACTTTCACATAGCCAGCTTTTGAATGAGGCTGATAAGAACTTGGGCACTCAACACCGTAGTCTTGAAGCAGTTTCCGAATTACGTCTCAGTCAACGCCGTCGAAGGCCTTCTCGAAGTCGGTGAAGGAATTTGGTGTAAATATCTGACTGCCATTCTATGATTTGTTCTGTGATTACGATGCCACAGAACATCTGCCGCAGTCTCTGGTTGTTTTCAGTGCTTCGGGGGAATTTCGTTTGGTCCTGCTGCTTTCCCAGTTTTCAGTAGCTTGATCACATTCACATACCCATTCCATTTATTTATGTGAACTTGACTTGTAAAACATTTGCACCTGTCTTCTTCAGTGATTGATTCTACGGAGTTTATTCGTCACTCATACATCTTCCAATTCATTTCTGACAACATAAATGTACAAATATGTATGTCACTTCTCCATCACATCTATGTCACTGAACGTACAGTATTCGACTCAGGAGGAGTTCTACCGAAATTTGATGAATTCATTCAATCTTGCCCTATTAACATTTGTTGTTTATTTGAAATTCGTATCACGAAATAGATGTTTCCAGTGTTAAAGTTAATTAAATATTTGCTATCATTCAGCAAATAGATGGAGATAGTGATGAATAAATGAAAGAGATCATTCAATAGATGGTGACTAGTAGTGGAATTCAGGTGGAGGTCCACTTCGTCTTATTTAGACCTCATAAGCTGGACTTTCCTGTAATCCCAAGTGGGTGATGATTTTCCAATTGAGATATGATGGATGACTGTGCTCGTGTCTCTCTGGAGGTTTCACGTACATGCAGCTAACGAGTCACAAACAGGAGCAAATGTGCCTTCTAGATTCCACTGAGAGCTACAATCCAGCAAATAATATCGTGTTAAGTTCACAAACATCGTCGTAGCGTCTGTACTAGGTACCTACATATCTACAGAAGTCAAACGTTTCGGTATGATCAAAAAAAGTAGGGAATGTTTATTACATAAACGATCAAGTTTGCAAACACCTTTGGCTTCTGCATATAACATATCATTTAATCAGTTTCCGCAGGTAACTTAACAGGTCATGGTTTTAGAATTTTTAATTAACATTGCTATCTGAACTATAAAACAAGAGTTTACAGAACAACACAAGGTTTGTAAATTAAACCAAGTGTTCATAACACACTTCGAATGCGAAAGTGGAGAAAACTGAGAAGAAACAATGAACTAATACTACCTGGT